CCAATAAACATTTCACTAATCTACCGCTACAGAGAACCAACATATTTTATCCAATGCAAAAGTCGTCGTTAACTTTACCTTACATTTTAATCAAACAACGGAACATTGAAAATGCTGAGGATATTACCTACACAGGGTTTTACAGAAAAAAACTAGCTATCACTTTACAATTTCAGTCTTGCGTACAGATCTTTCACTCTTACCGATAAAACAATAAGTTGAGTTGCGCAAAATATTGTTGGAATAAACCATGTAGCTAGGTAATGTCATGAGATGAATTAGCAAAAACAGCACTATTTTATAATCGTTTTAAACGCGGAGTATCATATAACAACATTGAATTCAACAGTGCGTATAGGTAAGATATCATAATTCACTACTTAACAGGTATTTGAATATGACAGTGGATATATAGGACTTAGCTTTAGAATCACAAAACTTACGCTAGGCATAGCATAGGTGATCATTTAACAAACTTTAAAACAACTACTTCAAGGGTCAAATAGAATAATCACAATACATGATGTCACTACAGCAAATGTTGTTAACCAGTATCTAAATAGATACTCCAAATGGATATAAGTGGTATGTAAGAAGCGGTACAACATTCTCATTCGCCTAATATACTTTATCATATCCAACCATTATCATTTTAAATGTAAATATTCGTCACTTTATAACTTGTAACTCTAATGAATTTGCAACAGACCTTATTTTTAAATGATTTGTCAGTATCACCATACCTAAGTAATAACTATTAAGTCAGTATCTTTAAAGAGAACATTTTATTACCCTACCTAATTAATATTGATTTGCTTCAAAATGCAGTAAAAATTAAATCAGAAAATTCGTAAAAAACAAATTCATGTTCAACAGAGATAGTATTACAGATAAACATTGTCATAGTTAAGTTTAACTTGACGTGAAGAGAAAATATGTTATTATGTATCAAAGAATAGATACATGTGTAATGAAATGTTTATAAGAATACCAAAGAGTTGAAGAGGTAAGCATAGTGTAACACCATATTTTTTACTTTTTTACTACAATTACCATATTATCCATAATAATTATTTACCCAATTTAAATGGCATATACCTTTATGCAAGCAGAAATGATAAATGACTAGACATAATGTCTTATAAACAGTTCGTTGATTTTTAATCATTATGTAACATGCCTACAATTTAGTTTTAAAAGCACTGCTCCCAAGTACATAGCTTTAGAGAAGCGCTGATTTATAGAACAATAATTGTATAGCATAAAGGCGTCACGATATTAATAGCGCTGACACGAATCTCGTACGCGTTTCTTAGCAACTGTTTTGACATTGAATACCAATTAATTGTGATATCTACCAATTTAACAAGCCATTCACCCAATGGTGCTGTAACAACGGGATTGCGTCGAACTTTATCATTTCGTTAAAAACCTACTATATAAGTTATGTTTCTAGGCAAGTGTAACAATGGCAATGGGAAGGTGGGCAGTCATACAATACAGCTATTGTTTGCTTGAGCCGCTGGCATTGCGACTTGAGCTGCTGCTGCTGCTATTAAGTGCCATTTTCTTCATTTGCCTGATAACCGTAGTAGCATGGTATGCCTGTTTCCAGCGGGACTTGGCAAAGTTCTTCTTGAGCTGTTCAGAAACAGTACCATGGATGTTCTTGTTACTGGCAGCATTTCCAGAGATCCAAGGGTGGTCCAAAGCTTGTCTGGAATAAAATTACTAGATTTTAGACTACAATATGCTAATAAAATAGACATATAATATAGATTATATTCAAGGCCAAAAGATAAGTTAGGATTTTTTGTGAAGTTATTTAAAAAATATCTTAACAGTGACTATTTTATGTATAATATAAGTAATACTTAAGAAATAGCAACTGTTAAGATATATTCTTGTTTCATTAAACTTTTTGACACAAAAAAAAGACAGACTGGTAGTCTTTTGACAAAAACAAAAATACTTCAATCTAAAATCCTACAAAAAACCTGCCAATGTACCCAAAATGTACCTATATACTTATTATTGAAAGAAAGGAGTTCTTTGAATGAATCCATATGGAAAATAAATATTAAACTGTCAAACACCAAACGGTCACCGGTGACCGCAACCTATTGTTCTATAATTGTGTCTATAATGACGGTACTCAACGAGTTAAAGAGTCATTGAAAAAAAACTTACCCACCTATAGATACGAAAATTGAAAAGTTAAGAATTTTTGCTACATGCAATAATAATTCTAATAAAATAGGTAAAATAATAATATATGCATCAATTAGCATAATTATTACATTTTCACATAAGCAATTTAAAAATATTTTAAAGTAATAAATATTGTTTTGTATTTAAATTAAATTTTAAAGTTTCTTTTGTTCAACAAAGAAAACTTGTTAGTTATTATATATTTTTATCATGTTGAAAAGCAGGATCATAACACCTAATAAATAGAATTTATTTTTAATTATAAATGAGCTTCTCATCAATATTGGAATTACCTATTTTAGTAAAAAAAAAACACCTAACTACCTTCAACATACCAATCTGCCGTTCTACTTAACTTATAAATGATAGAAAAAGCGAATTTAACAGAATATCAACACTGAGATCAACCAAATAATGTAGATGCAGACACCATAATGTGACTTAAGAAAAATTATTTATAGCCAAAAGGAATGTATTGGTCAAGAAAATGTGAATTATTTTTATGTTAACCTCTTGCCTGTTGAAAGTTGAGGTCATAATTATGTGTTTTATAACGGGAGCCAGTGTTTCAACAGATAAAAAGTTAGAACTTCACAAAATAAATTAGTGTAAACTGATCTGATTGGAACTTACTTGCAAGTATATCTCTTGTCCACATCCACACACATTAAATGCCGAATGAAATCTTTAGCAGAATCACTAATATCATCCCAGTAAGGGGAGTCAAATTCAAAGTCTCCTTTCAAGATCTGAGCGAACAGGTTAGCATCATTTTCATCATAGAATGGAGGGTATCCACAGAGTAGAATGTAAGATATTACTCCTATACTCCACACATCCACAGCCTTGCCATATGGCTTCTGTGCCAGTACCTCGGGGGCAACATATCCAGGTGTACCACATGCCGTAGCCATGATGCCGGAGTCTTCTATCTTGGACAACCCAAAATCGCTAATCATGATCTTACTATCCTCATCAGCACTGTAATACAGTAAGTTCTCTGGTTTCAGGTCTCTGTGTACTACTCCTTGAGAGTGCATGTAATCTACTGCTTCCAACACTTGTCTAATTAGATTCGACGCATCTTTTTCGGTGTAAGACCCTTTCTCAACGATTCTGTCGAACAATTCTCCACCCGTGACGAGTTCCATCACCAGGTACACTTTATTTTTGTCTTCATATGTCTCGAGCAGCTGGACAATATTCGGATGAGAAAACATTTTTTTCTCGGCACCCTCGCCTTTGGCTTGTTCGCTAAATCTTTTCAAGACCCGAATTTCATTTTCTAATGAATCTTCTTTACCTTTGAGAGCCTTTTTGTCGATAATTTTACAAGCGAACATCTGCCCGTTTTCTTTGCTCTCTATCAAACGTACCTCGGAAAACGCTCCTGTACCCAGCAGATCTTTGACGACATACTTGTCTTCGATTGATGGCTGTTTCTCTGAATCTTTAACATCTTTTTTGGACTTCCTCCCAAAATCTTTTTTGCCAAATAAAGGCATCTTCGAGCCCCAAACTCGCAGGTTTTGAACTACTCTACTACTTAATAAATATCTACATACACACTGTAGAATGTAGATAGGTATGTCGAGACTAGCCCGACAGAACAATAATCTTGCTCGGTTGGATTCACGAATGTTGCGCAGGGCGCCCAAGGTCAGACGATTTGTCAAAAATCCGTTATGCGTTTTATTCGTCGTAAACTTCATTATTAGAAAATGGTTCTTGTTATGATAGTGGCATTTCCACAGATTCTATTTCCACTTTAATACACAATGCGAAGATTTTATTATGATAATTTAAAAATATTCTATTTGCAATAAAATAAAGAAGTACAAAAATTAAAACTAGTAAGTAGGTAACAAACACTCTTAGGTAAAATAAAACGTAAAGTTTATCACCAACACCAACATGCCACACTAGCGCGCGACACACATTACCCCTCTCAAAATCAAGTTTGCACTACAAGCACTTGATTGAGATGAATTTGTACATACGTGCAGAACTGGTTTATTTTATTCATATCAGTTCCAATACTGTCCGTCTCTTATCCATAATCTAACGAAGATGAGTTACGTAATAATAATATTGTTTAAGTGGTATCTGTCTACTATAGGTACTTACTTATTTTAAATGATAACAGAATACAAGGAGACGCACTTATTATAATAGTACCTACATTATAATTATTTTTTATTGATATCCTTAAGTTTATTAAGTTTTTATTACCTTCTAAGGATGAAGTAAAATAATGTATAAATAATTTATTCTAATATTTGGTAAACCGCGACGCTATTTTAAACATGCGTAGTATAGAAAAGAAAATTAAATTTAATGTGGGTAGGGCGGTATATTAAGAATTCTGCTCCTCTTTGCCTGTACCTAAAAGGTCCTATAAATTTCTTTAGAAAATCTAAAGTGCAATCAGCCTAGTCTTTTGTGGTTTACCTACACTACACATTCATGAAAGCTGAGTAGAATAGTTTTGAGTTTTTAAACGACCTAATTGAAATTTATTGCTAGATAGGTAAGTAAAAAGGGCATGCCCATTTACTGTTCATGCTGCCATGTACGTTGTTATCTTTTGGTACTAAAACAATAATAGATATTTAGAAGTTTTGCTTTTTTATTATTATTACTTATTTAATCATTTCATCGTTTCAACGTTCTGGCACCCCAATCTACATTTCACAACCCCTGTCTATATTTTCCATTGTCTATGGTTCTACCCCCTGACGTCACCGTGAAAATCGACCAATCCCATCGGGCGCAGTGTTCGATGGCCCTTATGCGCGGCATCACTAGCGCGCTTCGTTTCGTACCTTATCTTCTAATGTTTTCGTTGTTCTACAATATGTGCCGTTCCAAAATCATCGTAGCTGTGATTAAAATTGTATAAAATGATCGGTGTCATCATTTTGTCTCTGTGAAAAATAATTTCCATTTTGTTTTATCTCAAGTGTATTAGTTTTCTAAAATATCGTGAGGGGGTGGTGCCGTGATGCCAGTTCGTAAGCAAGGTGAATTTCGATATCCCAATATCGACGTTTAGCGGCTACAGTCACCGTGTTTTGTCCACGCTGTCATCGACTTATTATTTAATTTGCACAGGGGGGTTGGCAGCACTCAGCACAGCACCCTATTGTTGATCCGTATCGATATTATTATGAGGGACACACACACACGTTTGTAATGTATTCTTACCATGCAGCATATTACACCTACCTACGCTACACATTGATTTCTGTTTCTGTAATAAACTGTAAATTGTAGAAAGTTTCGTTTATCATTGCTGCTTGGAAAACATGCCCTTCGTAAAATGTAGGTCGACCATAATATGACTAGGCACTAAGTAGCCGCTCAAGCAATCTTATGACATATCTTAAGCGCGTTAACTTAAACGTTACTAACACGTTTTTTTTCCATTTTCTCAACAACAACTTTAGCCTCAATTTTATCAACACTTTTGTCCTATGCCTACCTACTATCTATTTGGAGAACAGATCAAAAATAAATTTCTTAACAGAAGTAAACATGACCTATTTTCAGCACGCCTACTTTTTTTATACATGTTTATTCATCGTACTCTTTGTTTTGGTATAACAGAGGCCCATCGAGCATTAGAACTGCTGGAAGACTACCACAGCAAACTGGTGAAGCCGCAAGACCGACAACTTCGCCTTGCCATCGAGAGAGTTATTAGGATATTTAAATCACGTCTGTTTCAAGCTTTACTTGGTGAGTTGAAAAGATCCATTTAGTGAACTGTAACCGTTGCTATAAGAACGGAATTTAGTGTAAAGCACTAAGTACCAGCGTCAATTAACTGTAGTAACCATGAATAGTCCGACGTTACACTATAGCTCTCAAGTGTATTATGGACCTACTTACCGGTTTTAACAAGTCACCTGTCCTACTTAATGACTCACAAGGTACACTGCCTTATTTGCCACTTTTCTGGACTGAATCGAAGAGTGTAATTTACAATTAAGTACAACGTGAATGGATCCTATTGTAAAGATATTTTTACTTGCAACTTAGACAGTTTTTTTTTTCGGGAGTATTTTCCGTCGAAAATGCTATCTACCGTCATGGCGGTAGGTACACTTAATCATAGATACTTTGGTACTCGTGATGGAAGGCAGATATTCTTTTCCACTGTTATCATGACTCAATTGAGGTCACCCCAACCTCCAGATCAATGTTCTTTAGTCGTGGCTCCACTTTTACTAAACAGAAATAGGTTACCCAGTAAGATATGAAAACAAGCCAAATGTCAGACATTGCTCCCGCTTTCTATTGTTTCTATAGGAATTTTTAATTTATTGGTGTCTACATTATTGTCGTTTTAATTATAGCAATTGTATGCTCAAACTAGGTCATCCTAAACGAATGTTTTATATTTTGGGTGAAATAGAAAATCTTTCTTTTTATATACGGTCAAATAAGTGACGGTCAAGATATGCAAATGTGGAGTATCACAGGGATGTCCTAGGACCACCCATGAAATTAGCTACAGAAATAGTCTACAGTTAAACTCGAGTTCACATTTTAATTGGCTTTCCAATTGTAATAAACGCATGTGTTTTATTACGAATAGAGTAAGTAAAGTACCTATTCGTAAGTTATTAAAGCAATACATGATTAGATGTTATGTCAGATAGCTTAATAATACATTTGACCGATGAATCAATAAGCCTATTAGGTACCATGAAAGGATAATAATGGGACATGCAGGCGTCTACCGCTATCCAGGAAAAATAATAATAATAATAAAGTGCACCGTGTTGTGGTAAAAGGTGCATCAGCGATTACGATAATTATGTATGTGCTTTTCTGCCTCGTCTACCCCTTTAGGTATAAAATGATGTAAAGTTATGTTATAACAATAAAGATGCACACCCCTTTTTATGTAGCTTTGAACTTCAGTTCGACTTTGAAGTTCAGTGGTCGAAGGGACCGATTCAGCTCAGTATGCTATAAATATACGGAACATGCGCGTGACCGTACAACACGTCACTGGCGCTCTTGAATCTTCCTTGACCACGACACTGCTATTGTGATACGATATATTTAGCCAGTTGTACTGAACATTACGCTAGTCTAGTATCTGATATCAACAAAACGAAGGTCTCTGTGAAACTAAACGTTCAATCACAGATTTTTCATTTTATCGCATACCTACAGTCGCGTTGTAAAATCAATCGTAATTTGGAATATCTCATTAGATTAACATTTCCGGATTCAATTGCTTTTTCCTTCGCGGATCGAATACAGGGCATATTAACCGAAGAGGGTACCTAACCTGTAAAACATAATTCCTTAGAATTTTAAGTTCCGCTTATTGCTACCGACGAATACCAAATATGAACTAGGTAAATAAAATGTCTTTTAATTGTCCAGTGTAGGTTTTGCTTATAGGGTCCCACCCTATAAGCACTGATAGAGATCTAATTATGACCTACAAACCTTATCCGTGTCTTCAGACTGCCTAATTCTGACGAACAACAGTTGACTCCCGAGGGTTTATTTGGTAGTATAGGTATGTAACATACTGACTGAACGTGGGAAGGTTATTCAATAGGTTAACTGTTCAAAATCGGTGCCAAGACCGTTTTACAGTTCATAAACAGTTAGGTATTGTCGTTCTTGATTTACGATCTAAATACAACATTTAAAAAAAAGTTTTGGCCACAACCCGACTACAGATCCTACTCAATCCGTGCAAGAATCAAACTTATGATACTTTTATCCGTAGCAATCACTTTGTCTCTTATGGTCGATGGACCTGGTTATGACCAGGTCCGAATCTAATTTAGGGTACCTACTTCAATAAAATCTTTCATTCATGCAGATTTGTTGATAAACACAAAATTACAACAGCAAAGTACCCCTAAAAACAATTTTAAATTTTCTTTCCAGTCAAAATTCGCGCTGTTTTACATCAATCACGATTGTGGTTTGATCAAGTTCAATTAGGACTATGTCGATATATTTATCTACATTGGATTAACCTTGCCCTGTAGTCGATGCGTACTTGATTGCAGCTGACTGCATGCGTCATGTAACGAACACACATGGGCTTCACTGCATCACAGTGACAGAGGTGAAGTTATTCAACTTGCTTTAAAGAATAGAAAGAGAATTTTCAGAACATCTTTCTGTCTATAAAATACAGTTATCAAAATAAAATAAAAAATCTAAATTTATACCTCTATAAAATGATAAAACTTTAACTGTTAATAATTTTGACACGTTTTAACTTTTACGTTACGTTTAAAAATATATTGTATGTCATTGTCATGATTAATCTTTCTTACCGGATCTTAGACGATTTTGTATGAACTTGTATTTGTTAAATTAGGACACTATAGGAAATCCTTTTTAACGTGACCATGAGAAAAATACTGACTCTAATGAGTATTAATAGTAAGTAGGTATCTACCCACATTTGATTCAAAATTCAATCCTACAACATCTGAATGTCCACGTAACGTTGTATTGCTGTTGACACTAATCTCTCAACAGATACTAATTAAACTCGATCTGAGTGATTGAGTAGGTACACACGCAGTTAAACTGTTGTGTTATTTATCATATGTCGCTTACGCACGCAATCAGTTGAAAATAATATGAATAATCTTGACACAATCCCGTTGTTTATTAGTTTGACGTGATATCTGACTAGTCCAGCCTCTGTTGATGACTTTTATGTGTGTAGATACCTATTTAAAGTTACCGAATGACCTTTAAGATAAGGTTATTATGAATAGCCAGTGGGTCACTAGTTCACTACAGTTAAGTACATCTGGTACTTGTAAAAAGGAAAAATACACGTGCCATCGATTGTAGATACGTAAAGTGATGAATAAGTAGGGAGAGTGACCCTTTCCTCTACCCAATCAGCAATCAGTATTTCAGTGCGACCTGGAACACTCCGCCTTTCTCAAATCGACTAGGTAACAATTACTGCAACCCGGTAGGATCTTGACGAAATAATGAGAACTGTTCAAGTACATAAACCACGTCAGTCATACGTAGGTACTATCATACGTAGTACTACGTACGTTAGTCAGTTATTTACCCAAGTACCTAGGTACAGAAAATGCTAGTGCATCGATAATATATTTTTTATTTATCTTCTTGAGTACTATCATGTTGGCCTACTAACTTGGCCCCTAATAGGTATCAACCAATTTCATAACGTACCTTCAGACACTTGATTGACTTAGTCACATGCGACGTGTATCTAATAATGCATCGATGTTTAAACAATGACATCCTGTGTTGAAGGAACTCCATTGTACACGAATATACAATACGGAAGTATAGGAACTAATGTCTTTTACTATAAATTCGAAACATTCTCATTCATAGGTGCAATTTAAGATTACCTAATTGTCATTTTTATTGAATGATTTAGATTACAATAATAAGACGTAACCCTTATTATGATGAACTGCACTTTGATATTGTTATTCTCATTAGTAAATTTTCCTTGTAAACACTGGGTTATCGATATCAGTGTAGAATATTGCGAATCCGGCAATAAAAGGAGCAAATGTTTGTGATTCATTAGTGTAGAATTTGGATTGCAAAATGCAAGATTCGTTTGGTGATAGGTGTGCCCTTTGATATATTGGTCTATTTTATTAAGACAAGTCCGTCTCATTTACCCAACTAAGTATCTACTGCACCTCCAGTAAAGCAGGCTTCACCTTACTGCACTAGAGACCAACCAATAAAATACAGAAACAATCTGTTATTAATATTTCTGTGGAAACAATAATGTCCGGCGCGTCGAAACGACGTGAACCTGAAGAAACGACTCTTGGATCCCACAACGAAATAAATCAGAGGAAAACAAACGTACACACTTCAAAAATTAAAAGTTAATACATATTTTGTCTATTTCCTAAAGTGTTTGGTATACTTACATTCAGTATTTGTTTAAGTTAGCTAGTTGGATAAGGAGGGAGAGATGGAGTTGTGTTTAATGCACCGTGGATTAACAGGCCAAAGCACCTCCGCCCTAACTCACCCTTTCGGGCAAAAATGATTTTGTTGTGTTTATTGTTTACTCTGTGGCTCTATTGGCCAGGCTATTTTCACCCTGTATGAAACATTGATTGACAATTTCAAAAATCCATCAGCCATCATAGTGCGGCAATCATATATGTGTTCGTTTGTTCGTAAACTCAACAACATGTGCGCTGGTCTGTTTGACCTACATCTCCCTATATATACGGGTCACCGGCTTTCACCAAGCCTTCGCCTACACATTCGCTTTTCGATATGTTTTAATTAAAATTTTAAACTATGGTACCTAGCTGAGTTCTCCAACTATTCTTATTGTATACCTCTCTGCAACGGACTGTACTATAGACATCAGCGGAACGCGAGCGCTCGCTCAACATGAGAACTAACTTCAACTTTACCAATACCATAAAGTTAAAAACATCTCATAGGCGTTTTTATAATAACTATCGTGAGACATACTAAATTAAGTAAAAACGCGGGTTACTCACGTGAATATACTGAGAAAAGCTCTACTAGTTTCGAACCACAGAGGGGTTCTTCCTCATGAGCAGCGTGCGCGGTCGCGGCGACTCGGTATATTCACGTGTGTAACCCGCGTTTTTACTTAATCTCATATACGATTTACTTTTGTGAATAAGCGCAGCATTGTCCAATCCAATGGTACCTATTAACTTGTTCACAACAGAATAATGGTATTCGAAATTTAAAATGTTATTCCTATCACCTTTGGTGTCGAGATGTCATATTGTATTCAATATCAAATAGGTAGATGCTTTGGTTAAGTTTTGGTCGTAATAAATCTCGGTAGGTATTTGCGTCACAATTAATTATTGTAGCCTGTGCGCTGTGTGCGTTTTAACAACCGTAGAGATATCGCTTCGCTTATCAATAGTTTAATATTTCTTTGTGTTTTCAATAATTTTGATAACTAACCTACTTTTAACTATTTAACGCAATGAAAAAAGTTACCTACCTATGCACACAAAATTTATCTAAAGTAGGTAAGTATATGTTTAGTTGAGATTATCTTCTAGTACCTATTTCATTACCTTAAAAGGATTATACCTAAGTTATGTAGACTAATGAAATCCAATGTAATATTCTTCGCATGGTCCTTGGTAACAGGACCATGACATAAGTAGTCCGTAAAAGTCAACTTAACTTTAGTTCGACACTCATTGTTATCATTAAACTGTCAAATACCAAGCGGTCACCGGTGACCGCAACCTATTGTTCTATAATTGTGTCTGCAAAACCGGTACTCGACGAGTTAACTCAAAGCTCCTAGGCGATTTTGTAAGATGTCTCAGTTCGAACTCTCGAAGTGAGCTCGATCGCGGTCCATCATTCTTGCCCGTCATTGGTCGAGATATTAATCACAACCGCGATCGAACTCACTTCGAGAGTTCGAATTGACATCTTACAGAATAGCCCTAAGGTCTCGGTCGTCTTCGACTTGTGATATGATTTTTTTACTGAAACAACCCAAATCAAAACATTTTACATAACACCCCTCTTGTTCTCGTTACATGGACAAATGCCTGTAGCAACATTCTTGATACTCTAGTGCCAAATTAAAGGGAGGTACCTAATTGCCTCATAATTTTACATGATGTGCTCTATGTTACGATCAAGGGAAGCTGTGAAGTGTAAACCTCTGTAAATTCAAGCTCTAAGCTGCCTTTAGCCTCCCTTAATTATTTTCATAATACAAAATGCACCAAGTTCATCCACTCCGACATGAAACATGAACGTGGGGTCGCCGCCCGCACGTTCGATATCGATCTCTATACAACACGACTCACGCGATAGTTTCCACTACCTACCCACCTACCTACAACTGAACGGAATTGTTCCAGATTAACTCTTTTAGATAAGCCTTTATAGGCCGAATACCCATTTAACCATACAATACAATACACGACTCCTTCTTTCAATATCGAACAATATGCCTACTAAATTCCCCATCGATTATTGTCAGTGACAAGTAAACAAACGGCTCACCTAAATGCATTAATAAGTTATGACAACTCAAGGTCCTGAGAGAATCGATTGGAAGCATTCGATTCAATTATATTTTTGCTGTGTCACAGATATTCAAGAGTTCTACGAGCTCACACTTCTCGATGACACCAAGTCAGTTCAGCAAAAGACTGCGGAAACGATACGTATCGCGAACAAATGGGAAGCTGACAACGTTCGACGCGAAGTAAGTACATTTCAATAAGTAAATAATAATTGGCAAATATATTTCAACAACTAGGTCAGACGTCAAACTGCTGCAAAATTATAGAGACCGTAAATAATGCAAAATATTCATAAATAAAAGATTTGGTTCGGGTATCTGTTTGTTAAATGCAATCTTTGCTCATCGAGACTGCAGTTTTAACTGGGTTATTTACAGATCCATTGTAAACTTCTCGATGTCTGGTCTTTATATTGACTTATTTCATTGTGGCTTACCTCACAAACGGCACGGTTGTTGCTGTGCAAATAGCAGTGGTGCTCATTTACTTAGCTAGCAATGTTATGACAAGAATATTTTACTACTCTACTTATTCCTTACTTGTGTCATCGGAAATCTAAATAAGTTGCACCGTTTCTTACGTAAGCGGACACAATTTTAAACCTCTTCTCTTTTACGATGAAAAAATTCATTAACTCTCACAATTCGCTAAATATTTTTGAGGGTAGGTAAAGTACGTTAGTTGAGAGTTTGATCGAGGAGTATTTTTTATATTACCTTGTTGAGTACCGTCGTTGTAGACACAATAAAAGAACATTTTTTTTAAGGGGGAAATCATCGCGTGACTGCTCCGGAGTGTCGTCAGACTCTCACTGACTAAAAACCACCCCGTTCCTTCTTTTGCACGTCGAGCCGGAGCCCCGGTTACCCGTTAGGTTCTCCGCGACTCCGAATCGGCATCGGCCCTATTGGGCCCCATCTGTGGTGGTCTGATGGCTCTTTGAGGCGCGCTCGGAACGCGACGTGCGTACGCTCGGGTCTCTTTTTGGTCGGACGGGGAGCCACCCATGCTTGCCGTCCGCAGTCCCGCGCTTACGGTGGCCGGAGATCGTCCCGCGATCCCCGACGCCCGGTGTGTCCTTCGCGATGGCTGGGTTGCGAGGAGGCAGCGCTTCGCTGCCTCACGCGTCACGCCTCCTCCTTAGCTAGCATGACTGCTTCGCAAAAGGAGGAGACGGCATCCCAGTCCCCTTCGCACCGCATCATGGCCTGTAATAGGCCCGGACGCGAGAGGTCGCCATCCAGCCATCCGCCAGGCCATCGCCGATCACTTCCCTTAGGGCACGGCGTTGCTCAGCCCACGCACGCAGGGCATTCCGCTACAGTGTGTTCCACCGTGTCCTCAGGACGGTCCTCGCAGTGATGACACCCGGGCGTTTCCTCCCGCCCCATCAGACACAGGTACCTCCCGAAAATTCCATGTCCGGTGAGGACCTGCGTCAGGCGGTAGGTGAGGACATCGTAGCGTCTCTCAAATCACTCCTCAAAGAGGGGACTTACCGCTGCATTGGCAGCACTCCCAGCCCTCGGTTGCGACAGTCGTTGCTGCCATTCCGCCATGAGATCGCGCCGGAGCTCATCCCGCCACGCACTTATCTGTCGCGGCAGCGGAGTTTCGCCCCGGCGATGTGCCCCCGCGCGCATGCGATACACGCGCTCGAGCACCTTTGCCTCCAGATCCCACGGTGGTAATCCGGCAAGGAGGTTCGCCGACTCCCCAGAGATCGTGCGGTATCCGCGGATCATTCGGATCGCCATGACCCTCTGTGCCATGAGCAGCGCCCGGCCGCCGCAGCAGGTTCGGCGCCCAAACAGGGGCGCCGTAGACCATGAACCGCACGAAATTAAAGAACAATAGGTTGCGGTCACCGATGTCCTCGCGGTGTTTAACAGTTTAAATTGAATCCTGAACCTAAGAGATGTATCGACAGTTGAGTTAAATATAATTGAATATTAGATGTTTATTTATTGTCTTAAGTTTAATGAGATGTTATAACGTGGTACGTTATTTAAAATAGGTATAGATCCCTTCATTGGCCTGACTGTCTCATTGGCCGAGTGGTCGCAAGAGCGACTGCCGGGCAAGGGGTCTCGGGTTCGATTCCCGGGTCGAGCAAAGTATTATTGGGTTTGTAAAAACCTCAGTAGTAGCACGGAGTCTGGAAATGTGCCCGGTATATGGCAATAGGCTCACCCCCTATTACATGGGACGCATAACATAAATATTAAATAGTGAAAAGTGGGTGTTACATTGCACAGTGGGATCAAGTGCCGTAATGTGCACCTCTGCCTACCCCTTCGTGGATAAAAGGCGTGATGGTATGATGTTATGTTAGTTCCCTTCATGACTTTTTGTGGGTCAAATTTAAGATTCGTTCTACAAGTCTACATTGAGTTTGATTCAATAATGTTGAGTTGGCTTAGTTGCATAATAATGTAGGTAAATATTGTGTATGTACCCACTTACAGGCAGGTCTAGGTCAACTTTGCTTGAACAACCAATAAAGTTAGATGCGGGTGAATACCTTAGATAATCATGGTTATTTCAATCTAGTCTAAGTACCTATAATAACCAATTATTAGAAGCTATTAGGAACGAACTATTTTTCCAGATTCCACACACAGAGGAGGGCGACTACCGTAGCGTATCCAATGCATTCCTACAAGAGAACCACAGAAAATCCGAATCCCGAAATGCTACGCCAGATTCAACGAAGGTAAGCTTATGACTACGTACACAATTTTCCTTTACTTATGACCAGTTTTTACAGGGTCTGTAAGCTAGCACCTAAGTAGCATGTTACACGTAGGTATGTACTACCTACTTATTACTTACTACAGCCCATAAAGTCACACATAAACCTCCAATAATACATTCAACATTGTGTGTGACCAATTTCTGATTAGGTACGATTACATTTATCAGAAAAGTAAATCAGCAATTCGATTCAGTGTGAATAAGTCTCAATGGTTACATACAGCCTCCTTACTGATGAATTCAATAAACTGAATAAACGATGTTGCCCCTAGATGTCGTTACTGTGGCTCTCAACAAACTGGATTTAGTATTTGGATTGACGGAGGATTGCGACCTCACCGTTTTCTACAAGCAACCTGAATTTCTAATGCCTTTTTGGAACTAAACTGAACTTGAGCCAGATCCGTATCTACCTACCCAACTTTACAATTAGGCCTGTTATGTTATGAACTATATTGGATAGATAATTACACGAACTTAAGTATTTATGTAAACCGCTTGGTGTTTGACAGTTTACAAAAAATTAAATATATACCTTTCCTAATAATCATGTTTTTGGTTTAGGCTTATTGTGTCGTTCTACCGACTGGAGAAATCGAGGAAAAAAAGGTAAGTTGTAAGAGTTTACCTACCTACTTAATGGATTTGTGTCTTTATGACCAAACTTACTTATTTGAACACTTATTTCTTAATTTTTAAGTCATGAAAACAATGGTGAAAATTCTATAATCTTGGGATAAAATAAAAATAAGTTGTTGCCATAGTCACTATCTTACAACATACAGCGCCATCTTTTGTAAATTGTTTATAGTTTTAAGAATAGAGTCGTGGATCTGGCGGTGGATCGATACGATGATTCCTTCATTTTTTTTATTTTGATGACGTGACGTTTACGAAAGTGGCTGAACAGAGCGCTAGGTACAACAAGTGGACGGTAATGGCGGATGGTTGGTGTTTCGCGTCTCGTAGTACTATTTATAACCTAAAATATAGTACAAGTTTTCGGCGATATGTGCGCTAACGTTTCTTGGTTGTGTGGATTGGTGCCGTTAAATTTCACAATTGTGCCAATGACGTACGAACGCTACATCGACTGAAAGTATACTACTCTAAATGATAATCAGTGAAATGATATTGCACACAAAATTTTGACATTCACACTGCCGAGATTTCGTATTCGTTGCAAGTAAGGCCATTTAATAAACACTAATCTATTTTTAAACGTTTAGTAATTTCTTTACACTCTGGGAACGTTTTCAATTCTTGGTGAGACTAATGCGACTTCGGAGTTAGTTTTGCTTGTAACAATTCGCTGTTACTTGCCCATGGTTAATAGGTACAATATAAGTACTATGATACTATTAAGTGCCCATAAATTGCACACTAATAATGTAACACGGACATTCTAATTAAGGTTCATCGCTTTGACATTCATACCATCCTATCATCGAACACAAGTTGGTAACACGCCTAATAATTATCCAGCCATACATATACCATATCTACTAAACGCTATCAATAAAGGGCTCGGCTAAAATTCGTCCATTCATTAGATAAGGACTGCTGCAATTTAAACTAAGCTAACATGATAAAGAGCTTTAAATGTAATGGGATTACCTGCAACTTGAAAAGAGGTCGCATACCTTCTAAAAGGTCACATACCTACTTGATATGTTTTGGTGCAAGTTAGTTGTGGGTTCTAGGTAGAGAATGGTGCATGCTGAACATCGTCAAGTAAGCTGAAAGTGGACACAAGTGTGTAACTAACAATGCATGCAGTGTACATAGTGTAGTACGGACATCAAAATAAATTCCCTGAGGGCTATGCACACTTGGTCTTGAAAATGACAGAAAGACGGAAGAAAAAATCACATAATGGATTCCTTCGGAAAGTGTCATCCTTGTTTAATCTTGATACGGTGAGTAGGTGACATGACTTCAATTTGATTCAGTTCCAGACAATCAATGAAACATTTAATGAATTTTCACTATTGTCACATGACAATTGTTGCTTACACTTTACTCAGACTATTCAATAATTGTCAATAGGTTCATGTTTCTATCAAGATATTTATTTAAACCAATATATTATATAATATTTATATGATTTCTATCTATAAAAATAAGTGTTTCTTATCAGTTACATCAGTACCTAATTGTTTATTGGCATTCAAATTCTTCCAGGTTTCGAATAAGTATATGACTTGTATGACATGTAAGATTAATATATACCAGTTTGTATTGGCCCTCCATAATATTCACTATAATAATTAATATTCATAATAATCAGAATGTCAATATGTACTCAATATTACATACATATTAATAGTTTTCTTAGATATTACAAGCTGTTCATGTCATAATATTTTTAAAACATGTTCCTGTTGTTGTTAGTCATTAACGTGACTTGATGAACTTTTATTAATATTTCAAAATAATTATTTAATACCTATAACTATGTACCTATTCAGGAATATCTAGAATTTTATGTGTGTAAACATTCTTATTGAATTTATTTAACAATACCTGTTTAATTTATTAACATATGTATATTATATCATTATAACATTCCTAATTATAATTACCTATTACTATTTGGTATACAGCTTAACTTGATTTTATCATTCTTTTTATTTACTTTGGTGATAAGATGTCATATTAACTTCTCATATTACTACTGATAATAGTCTAAATATGGCCATGGAAAATTTGGCCCTTAGTTTGAAGTTAAATGTCAATTTGAGTATTATTTTCAGGCTCACGTCACATCACCAGAAATGAAGCAGGTAATTCAATTATTTGACACATTTATTTGTAAAAATTGTAAACTATTTCTATGAATGATATTTAGTCTTTGAATTACTATATTCACACTTTAAATAAGAAAAGCATTCAATTTCCCAGATCACTAATTATTATTTTATAAGAAACTTGACCTAGTGACCTGGAAGTAAATGTTTATCAATTGCCTATATAAACATTGGTACCATCAATGATTTGTATGATGAAGATCTCTATCTGAATAAATTCTTATGTTAGTTAATAGAGATATTCTGAATATGAACACAGGTGGTAGTTGATGTCATTATGTTAACTGATATGTTATCAATCCTTACATCATTCCCTTGAAGATTTAAGACTCTAATCTATAGACTTTAGTAAACTAACAATGTGTGTAGTATGTAGTATAATGTCTAACAATATGTAATAGCCTTTGCAGGTAAATGGCATAGAAGGTGGTGGCACAGACCGTACGCAGGGTGATGATGGGTACATGTACATGACAGTGGTACTCTCGCGTGCGGGGGGAGCGGGGCTTGGCTTCAGCATCGCAGGAGGGTCTGACAACCCTCATGTGGCTGATGACCCACACATCTATGTCACAAAACTCATTCCCGGGGGAGCAGCTGCTGCCAGTCAGTTGCAGATCAATGATGCAATATTACAGGTAATATTACCTATTAATTATATTTAACAGCTTACTCATGCCACTTTGATACAATTTGAGAAAACTTGTCTAGTTTCAAGCCACACTAGGAACTCATATTCTTGAGCAGCAGTAAATTCACTATGTCTTTAGAGAGTTATAATTATATTATATAATAATAATATATTATAATATGTTACGTTGTTTAAGCAGATTTGTACTGTAACTTTAAGTGAAGGATGTAACTAATTGATTTATATGGTCCATGTCTAAATGAAAAGGTGGAGCTATAAGAATTTATTCAAACATGGTCATGTAGTTAGTAAATACACACCTACATAATTTGCAGGTAATACTGTTTACTTTATTATTTACTTTAATTAATTATGTCGTCAGGTGAATGACACGAACGTCGATAATGTTACGCACGCTGAAGCAGTGGATGCATTAAAAAAGGCTGGCAATACTGTGAGACTGGTGAGTTTGTTTATTTACTTTATGACGTTCTCATCAGCTGCTGAGTCGAAATTAAGCAAATACATGACTCAAGCTGTGAGCCTTATGTTTCTTTTACGTCACTTGATAACGCGGTCATCTCAGCATATAAGGAGTGTCCACATTACTGATACAAAGTTGATGGGCTAAAGTACAGAAACTACTGTCAAGGTGTGGTGTGTAATTACAAGTGAAAAGGTCGTAAAGTATTTATCGGTTTGAAATTAGTGACAAGTGTCGTCAAAGCAGACAAGAATTAACAGGACCGCGAGCGCGTTATATTGCGTGATGTTAGAGTAGTCGCCGCATGCCGCACTCCGCTCGTATCGCGCAATTAAACAAACCATGAAGGAGGTTTTATTAAATGCAATCAGAAGAATCAATGTATGTGTACACTGTACCTCCTGTATATGAGTGACATACTTCATAAACAGAATAAATTCGTCATTATGCTAAGAACATTGATTGTTCATGTGGTTCTTGCCAACTTTGATTGATAATTGAACTATTGAGGGCGTGTGCTATGTAAAACTCCAGCGTTTGGCCTTCGCACAAGGACTCTTTTACAATAAACATTGTGTGTCCCGCAAAATACATGACTCACGGCCGTTAAACTCGCCCGTCTTCAATACATTAAAAATATTTATATACTTTCAGAAAATACGACGTCGCGCGACAGAAGATACTTCTAATGTTTTACAAGTTACGAAGCCCGAGGAATCCGTAGAGATCGAGCTGGTGAAAGGTGGCTCAGGTCTCGGGTTCAGTATAGCGGGGGGTCTCGGCAATCAACATATCCCAGGCGACAATGGAATCTACGTGACCAAGATAATGGCCGGTGGTGCTGCTCATAGAGACGGCCGTTTGAGGGTCGGTGATAAACTGCTAATGGTCAAGAATACTTCGGTGAGTTGTTATTGAAGTTACACATGTTGAAGTGCTAATTGCCGTTGTGGGAATGTAACGCCGAGTGTGTGGGTCGCAGCACGGCGACGTGAACCTCGACAACGTGACGCACGAGGACGCGGTGGCGGCGCTGAAGGCCACCGGCGAGCGAGTGCTGCTGGTGCTGGTGCCGGGCCCGCGCCACGGACAGCCCTCGCCGCGCACCTCGCGCGCCAACACGCGTGAGTACACGACCTTCACAGCTTCGCCCTAATCTACACCGGCCCTGTAGGCCTCCGCCCAATGCCAGCCTTTATTGCTAGTTTAAACAAGCTGATGTAATGTGTACCCGACCACTGTTTACCTATATGTTATATCGTCCTATTAAATATTGCACATACAGCCACGAGAATGACAATTGAAAATACTGAAACAGCGTCAAGCACAGCGAATTCGCTGCGACGTGAAGATGTGACGGACAGCAACGAGGAGTCGAGGGTGGTGGACTTGGAGAAGGGTCCGCAGGGGTTAGGGTTCAACATAGTGGGGGGAGAGGACGGACATGGCATTTATGTATCGTTCCTACTGGCGGGGGGCCCGGCCGAGCGGTCGGGACAGCTCCGCCGCGGCGACAGACTGCTCGCTGTCAATGACGTAGACATTACTCACGCTACGCACGAACAAGCCGCTAAAGCTTTGAAGGTAATCTATATTATCATGATTCTATTTACTAAAGTATCAATATACCAGTAGCATTGAGTAGGAGCCAATAAATTGTCGTAGTGTCATTTCAAAACTACTGGATGCATTGTATGACATTGTTAGTGTTGAAATGTACGCGGAAGTTAAGCGTTTATAATTGAAACTTAATGTTTTGATTAAATTCAACCTTGTATCTACTTTATGCACTGGAGTAAAATCGCTGTGACCGTATAACAATATGAGTTTTTACAGTATGACAAATTTCTTTAGTATTTTTACGCTAAAACCAAAATATTATTAATGGCCCTGCATTCTTTAAGTATTCTGACATACTGCATTGGCTTACCATACTGACTTAATTATAGTGATTTGAAAGATCAAGTAACCAATAAGAATAATTTCCACTCATGACTGCATATAATGTAGTAAGCCAAGCTAACGAATCTCTCCTAGGCATAGAATAACGTCGCAATAATCATTATCTTGTAACATTTCAGAGTACAGGACAGAATGTAAAACTAACAGTGGTGTACAGGCCTCAGGAGTACAACAAGTTTGAAGCGCGCATTAATGAACTGAAACAACATCATACACTACTGAGAACATCCCAAAAACGATCCCTCTATGTTAGGTGAGATCATGTACCTATTCATCATTGTTTTAAACTAACTTTTCCTTAAAAACTTGGCAAAATGATTGTACTAGGTATTAAATAAACAATTATTCAATTGTAATGAACCATGTTTCTTATCAGTATTTATTTCAAATTGTTTAGTTTAGAATTTCCTGAATTCTTCTTATGATCGAATTGTAATGAATTGCACCCAGCAACCATATTGGGTTTTACACTGTAAAAGGAATGAAGGATAATAATAAATATTTCCTTGTTTATCAGTTGTTGTGTTAATGTTGGTATTAATATCGATTGCAGAGCATTGTTCGACTACGATCCGATCAGGGACGACGGTTTGCCGTCGAGAGGTTTACCGTTCAGGTACGGCGACATCTTACACGTGACCAACGCTTCCGACGACGAGTGGTGGCAAGCCAGGTACTGTAACACAACACTCAGTGCTCAGTTGATAACTAAATAACTTATTGTTATTACCATAATCATCATATTAGTCACAAAGCATCGACAGCTAGACATACACCTAACCAAAAACTTCTATAAACTAAAGTTATCATACCTAGTAATACTAGGTCAGGACCTTACAAAAAATACCTCTTATTATACAGGTATAATAAAAGGTATTTTTCTTGTAAAGACTAGGTATTATTTGAAACCGTCATACATGTTTGGAATTGATCAAAACATGCATTTGTTTCCTCTATCTATCTACAGGAATGAGTTCAATAACATATGTGTCATAAACTGTTGAATAAAATTGCTGTTATTATACATGATTCTGTATATTAATATCCAATAATTTGATTTCAGGCGGCTAGACAAGTCAGATTCAGACGCGATCGGTATCATACCATCGAAGCGACGGTGGGAGCGTAAGCAGAGAGCTCGAGATCGTCAGGTCAAGTTCCAGGGACAAGGCACACCAGTTAGCACTGTGAGTTTATAAAATATTACTAATTTATTAATTGCTAAATGAATTTTTTGTTGAAGAAAGTTGTAGAAAATCTATACTTCTATACTAATATTATAAAGAGGAAAGATTTGTTTGTTTGTAATGAATAGGCTCTGAAACTACTGGACCGATTTCAAAAATTCTTTCACCTCTGGAAAGCTACATTATCCCCGAGTAACATAGGCTATATTATATTTTAAAAATAATTAGGGATCTTTCCTAAAATTTCAATGTAAAAAAATTAAAATTAAAAAAAAACAAAAAAAAACATTTATAAAAAATATGTTTAAAAAAAATTCATTCAAAAAAATTCTAACTTCCTTTATAATTTTACTTTTTTTTTGAAACCCGACGCAAAAAAGAAGGGTGTATGTGTGTGTGTGTATATGTACCCGTGCGAAGCCGGGGCGGGCCGCTAGTAGTTTATAAAGTATTTAATTCGCTTCCTTGATTAGTTACTAATATTATACTGTCTTCGGATTAAGAAACAGGATACTCATACAAATAGAAGAACACTCTTTTCTTTCCTTTGCGTCGCACAGTCGGATAAAACATGCAATTTCTTTATCACAGTGCTTCATAAAACTTCTGAAGATAAGTTAAGGGATACCTTTTCATTTCAAAATAGTTTAATTTGCGTAAAATATTAAATAGCTGCTTTGCATGTCGACAAAACTTAAAGAAGGAATCTCCTTTAGAATCATATGATTGGCCCTCAGCAAATGTCAATTATATTCACGAATTAATAGTGAATTGTTAGTAACCTCGCTACCACATTCAAAACACGTTTTACTTATATGCAATTCTTGATGCGCAATAGATCTCCATTTTGTTTACCAGTAGGTGGCCTTGCCAGTTCGATAAACAAATATACCGGTCGTTGAATAGGCATCAATTTGTCTTCAATGGAAATAAGTCGTAAATAAACCCAAGTTTTAGACATTATTTAGGTCGATTGTTTCGAAATGGTAATATTCTCGTGACTAGATAGAATTAACTTTGTAACAAATGTTTATTATTTGGAACATGAATTAACAAAACGTTTTGGTATTTATTATGAGTTGTTGAACTCTTATTTCGAAATGAACATCATTTTATCTGCATTTACAGAGCCAATCAACGCTCGAAAGGAAAAAGAAAACGTTGTCGTTCAGCAGAAAGTTCCCATTCATGAAGAGTCGAGAGGACGGCAAATCTGAAGACGGTTCAGACCAAGAACGTAAGTGTATCAAATGGCATAACTTCCTCACTACTGTATACATCCACAGCACGTCTCACTTGGCATACATTTAAATATCATTAACTGTTCACAGACATTATAAATAATGTATTATATGGTGCAGTGGTACATGTGAAATGATAATGATTCTATATTCAGAGTTCGAGGTATTAATCAGTATGTTTTGTGCAGAACAAGTAATTGGTAATTCACGTGAGCAAGCGTCACAGGGGTGTGGTGTTTACATGAGGAGCTTTGCCGCACAGACAAACTAATAAAACAATTTTGTTACAGCTTTCATGCTTTGTTACACGCAGGAGGACGCTAACGCGGACGGTAAGTGCACATTCCCTTGTCCTCTCATATTTATTACTTTCGCTACTGTGCTGTTAATCGTATGTAGGTCATTACGCAGTTTTTTTTTCATGCGGCTGCTAATAACCACTATTTAAAGTTAGGTCGTTTTACATTGGAGCTATTCGCTTATTCTAACCACAGAACCAATTCACGTTCGATGTTAAACAAGTGAATAGAGCTTTCGTGAACGGTTTCCAGTCATGTTACGACTACTCGATTACTATGGGCCATCGAATGAATAGTTAAATACATTAAATTCAACTATGTAACAATTGTGTAAAAGGTGTTTGATTGCCCTTTGATGTACCTATATTAAATTATAAAAAGTCGTAATACTTACATTCACTTTGAACAACAAATATCTATTATCATACATTTTTTATATTGTACTATATAACTTATGTATCTTCTTGTACTCTATTATGATTTGATCATGAGAATGTAACTTGACATCATAATTATTGGAAATACACACTCCAAAATCATATGAAGAAACACAAATCATATTGTTGTGTGAACGTCTGAACATCACAGTGTAGTGAACTTTACTATTATATCTATTTTAATCAAAATGTGCCGGATCTATGTGAGTAAATTATCGCTTGTAGTGTGTTTGGAAAAAGCATGGTGATGCCTATAATATTAAAATATAGGTCTAGCAAACTTGCCAGTAATCGGCATATCATTGTCGCTTGTCGAATAATACAATGTCGTGGGCGACCCGGTGACAAGCTATGTACTTATTACCTCTGTGTGTTAGATAGTTTTATTTTTTATATGCAGCTCTTATCGCATAACTGTGTTTGTTACGTGTCTAAATGTCCAACAGATGGCAGCCGGCATTGTGTCTTATTACAATTTTGATTTGATAAATAATGAAATTGTACTAGTAATGGTGAAACACGGGTGTGTGATGAGAGCTTAGAGATACGATTTGGTGTTCCACAAGTAGTTAATGTTGATAATGAAAGTGGTCGCAGCGAGCACACGGGTTGGTTTGAGACACATCCGGCCGCCGTCCCGTGCTTCTAGTTGCCTCACCGGAGCCAACGATTACATCTACCTATCATCCGTCCAAGAGACGAGTTATTATTATTTGCAGTTTATTTTCCCAATCGCTATTCACGAACTTGTAGAGTTCTGCTAACTACTACCATGCTAGGGAAGTCGAACACACCTGTCCATGATTCCGTCCGAACGGAGGTTCCCACCCCTGGTCCCGTACCCACGTACGGACGCATATTGCTGCGTTTTATATAAATATATGTAACGTTAATTTTTCTACGTGTAGGGGAAATCTTGTACCGAGTGGAACTTCCCATGATGGAGGAGATAACGCTCATTTATCTCGAGGACGAGAGTAAGTTTTGGGAGTGAGGCGTAGCTTGCGAGTGCCGTAGCCGATACCTTACCTCCCGCATTCTGGTTATGATCATCAATTAGAAATGTAGTTTTCATTTCAATAACACTCCAGTTTTTATTATTTGTCATACTTTCTTTATGTTCAGTTGTTTTTAATTCATACAACGCGATTACTCTAATAGCCTCTCCGCACTCGAAAATATGACCATCGAGCTCACGAAAGTGTTTGGATGATTGTTTCAAAATTGTAAGTGAGGGCTGAGTAACTGAGTAGTGGGCGGTGGACGTAGCGGGAGTGGGCCACTGGAAGCACACGAGGACACGAGAGCCGCCTCTGTCTCACCGGCTGAGCTTCGGGCCACGCATGCCAGCACCGCGCCGCTTTGCCTTAGTCTAGTCACGTCACGCGCATGTCTGATCTACTCTCGATCTCACGACATTCTCATACGAGCTTGTTTTCCTTTTCAAAATTTACGCTGTGCTGGTTTATTTTTAGAGTTAGTTTTTGTGGCTTCAGATGTTTAGGGATGCTGTAATTATTATTAGCCTAGCTGTCGCTGACATACATAATTATTGGTTGTTGTAATAAAATGTGTACATTTGCTTATTATTACACTTCTCTTGAAGACGATGTTGATGGGCACAATTGAGCCAGAATTAAATAAATTATACCTTGAAACATGTTGGCAAGACATTGAGGTTTTATTTAATTTTGGCTAGTAGTAAGCAGATTCATGTTGTTTAGAATAATGTAGAAGAAAGCATAATTCGTTACCTAAGAAATTATGACGTACTATTTCGATCATATTTAAATTCTTTATTATTCGCCATTATTTAGCAGGCGATGTACAATGTTAATTATTTCTTGGGTCGAAATAAACTTTTATTCCAGAATTATGTTTAATGTAGCAGGCAGGTGTTTTAATGCATACCTCGCTAAGTAAGTCGAAACATCCGTCAACTTTTAGTATTTATACTTATGATATATATAATTTATCTATTTAATTATATATTACACACTTCAGTATTACGTAATATGCTTCGATTAAATATGGCCTAGGTTAGGTAGACACTTGATATTGGTCTAAATAAAGTAGAGTATTGCGATCAATAAAAATGAACTAATGAACATTATGTGTCAATAAGACTTCGACACATAGATTTCGTTTCGTGTTTACTGTGTATTGGTATGAGAATAGGTTCATTTGCCGCACAAGTAATGCACGTAATACGTTATTTTGATCTACGCACAAATCGCACGAATGATGTTGTGTACACATTTGATCGGTTATTGGTTACACGGACATAAGAAACTAAACAATTTGAAGTGGATTTAAGTAGATTAAACGAGAGACAAGTCCTATAGTTTAAAACATACGCACATAGATGGGCACAAAGACTGTCTTCTCTGAGAAGTTAGAAATTGTACAGACTATATTTTGTATGCATAATAAAATGTGATATGTTACAGGTCAAGATGAAACGGTGCTATCGTATGAGACCGTACAACAGTTGACCATAAGTTACACGCGACCCGTCATAATCCTGGGCCCACTCAAAGACAGAATAAACGACGATCTTATATCTGAGTTCCCTGAGAAATTCGGCAGCTGTGTGCCTCGTGAGTATTCTAATGTATAATTTACCTTATAAACCTCTGATACGTCGACAAAGCCCTAGTGTTCATAAGAAAGTCCACAATATTTACCATTGGAAAAAACCTTGCTTCCTTTCATTTGATGTGGGTATCATGGCATATTTCTAGCTTAATATTTTATCTCAATTCATTATATTTTCGATATATTCATTGCCTCAAAAGTACAAAAACAACAATATTAATAAAGTTATATTTATTGAAGAAAAAGGTACAATAATAATTTTGTAACTGCAGATACGACCCGCCCTCGACGCGACTACGAGGTGGATGGTCGAGACTACCACTTCGTAGCGAGCCGGGAGCAGATGGAGCGCGACATACAGAACCACTTGTTCATCGAGGCCGGACAGTACAACGACAACCTGTACGGTACCTCAGTCGCATCCGTCAGAGAAGTCGCTGAAAAGGTAAACCAAGAAACAGCAACATGTTATAAATATTGATAATCTTTTTACAGTTTTATTTTACAATTTCGGACATGATGATAATAAATAATAGTAAAGATTTATAACTATGAAGATATAATTTAAGGGCCCCGTTTGATTCGAAACTAGTCGGGCATCCGCGATTTTACACTATTATAAATAGGTTAGCATACCGTAAAACCTATTTAATTTTATATTTGGCGAAAACCTGGAATGATAAATAAGGAAATAACTCGGGTAAAATTATTTTATAATTTTCCTCTACATTTTAATGTATTTACGTTGTTCTATTGTATTACAGGGTAAACATTGCATTTTGGATGTAAGCGGCAATGCAATCAAGCGATTACAAGTGGCGCAGTTGTACCCTATTGCCATATTTATAAAACCAAAGAGCATAGAGTCTATAATGTGAGTATAATGGGAGATTAACAATAAATTTTTTGTACTTAGTATTTGTAGTATTGATAAAATTATATTTTTTTTTACAAATGCATAATATTATTTTGTTTTACAGGGAAATGAATAAACGAATGACTGAAGAGCAAGCGAAGAAGACATACGAACGTGCGCTAAAGATGGAACAAGAATTCGCTGAATATTTCACTGGTTCGTATATTTGATATAGTGATGTAACACTATTATGTAGTGTAGGGTTTTATGTATGTATGTGGTGACGAACGTGTAATGTTTGCAGCGGTAGTGACGGGCGACACGCCGGAGGAGATCTACGCGAAGGTGAAGGCGGTGATCACGGCGGAGAGCGGGCCCGCCGTCTGGGTGCCGCGTCGCGAGCCGCTGTGAGCCCCCCTCCCCCCACTAGTGCCTCGGTGCCTCGCCCCTCCCCCCCTACAAGGTGCGGCTCACACGTTTTGTACCAAGTCTCGCGACCCAGCAATAAGCAGTAGTGACCCGCGCCACCCCGCCATGTTATACGTGCGCTAAGCGTACGATTTTCGCGTCTTTTTAGTATTACGATCAGACTTCCTTCAATCACCGCTTGATAGATAGACCATATCGGAGTTAATTTAGCATTAAAGAGATTTCTAAAGTTAATGTAAATTGTCACCATGTGGATAAATTGTTGACCAAGAACTCTCTAATGATAGCATTCACTGTTGTTCACTGTACTTACGCTTATGTTTATCGTGCAAATTATTAACGAGAGCGTGTCGTCGAATGCAAGTTTTATATCGAATTATTCTTTACTTATTTGACAATGCCCACTAATTGTGCTTCAATTAACTATATAGTTATTGAATATTTAATAACATTTTAAAATGGTATTGTACATGTTAATTTACTCAGGTTGCTAGATACATTTCGAATTTTTCGTCAGTGTTAAGAGTTTAATATAATACATTATTCAGATAGTGGATTGACGTATGAGCCGAGTCACGTGCACAGTGATGTTGCAGACCGCCGACCGCTATATAAAGTGTATACCTACTAGTTATGATAGTTACGCTGTGTAGTTGAACCCACCTCACGCATGGCTAGAGTAAGACGTACATAATCAGGATTATTTGCTCAAGCGGCAATCTATATCGTATCGTAACCATTGAATCTCATGACATTTCTGCACACCGTTGTCCTCCTTGACACTTAGACGAGGTGCAAAGTTGTTTGTTGATCATTTTTATAGTAAGCAATTGTGTTATATGGTGTGAAATGTCTCACCAATTAAATAGTGTTTGACATTTATTTATTGAGAATTTTATTTTCTTACGGAATAATTGATGCTCATCTGCAAATATGGCACGAGAAGCGAGCATGTAATTAAGTTGCAATATACTTGTTGTTACGTCTTAGTGTATGCATTGCTGAAATTGTGCCCTTAATAACAAAGTAATGATTACCCTGAGTATTATGTACCTTAGTATAAAAAACGATGCATATACTTTTAAATATTAAAAACGTGGTACTTAAATATTTTATTAATATGTTTCAAATATAATGCGAATGTTAAAGTATTAATTAATTAACTCATACATGACAAATGCTAATGACGGATATTACAAAATATTTTAAATTTCGACTCAGAAAGGCATTACGGCAAACTTGGTTGGTGTGTTATTAGTAGGAAGGAACTGTTAAATTGTTGAATCCACCAAAGAGATTTGACACTGTTTATATTAGCAATATTGGCCGAGCACTATTTACACGACGTTAATTCGTTACTTACACCGCTGTTTGTCGTGGTTCCTTTCTACGATTTTGTTGTGTACTGTAAATAATAATAATGATAGACATTTTAATTTATTTTTAAGACTCTTTATCATGTATTAACACCATAGTCACGAAAATGGTTTATTTTTAAAGCTATTTATTTTATCATTTATAAGTAGGTATTTTATTTAATAATAAATTGAGTTTGTGCAAATTAAGTGTATAATGTCTTTTAACATTTAGTTTATAACAATTTAATCCACATCCATATTTGCAGATGTACAATGTTTATGAGTTAGTGATGTTCAATAGAATAGTTTGAATAAAATTATTTACGTTGAAAATTGATTATTGTTTTCTTTTGTCCTCCTATTTTTTGGTCTAGAGATGGAAAATGGTACCTATACGCATTTAGCGACAATGACACATCTGGCCACGACATACATTTCTTAGTACATTATTACATAAGTAATGAAAATATGTTTACGCATTCTAAGACTCGCTAGCCAGCGGGTTCGCCCGCGTTCTTGTGGGATAAAAACTAGCCTGTGTTACCAGCCGTTTTGATGTTAATGTGTAACAAATATGCAAACATCGCATATATAACATTAGTTGTAGAATAGTAGAGTTGAGATGTGATTGAATCAGAGTGGAACTGGCAATAGACCTCTAACAGGTCCTGGGGGCTTACTCTTGAATCCAATTCCGATCGATCGACATTGATATTGTAAAATTTCGTACTCTTGAGTTGCAAAACTAGCGCCCATTGCATCAGTATTGCGTGAATATTGAATGAACTAAATGGTATTGAGTTCGGCTTTATATTCCGTACTCTGAATGCTATTTTAATAGCTTCGATATTCGGTTTTGACATTGAATAATTATTGGATTGAAATTACATTGTGATTGGTTTCAAGAGTAAGCATCCTGGTAAAAGACAAATGTTTTTATAGGGAACTAGCTTCTGCCAGCGAAACCGGTGCATAAAAAGTATCCTGTGTTCTTCCAGACCATAATATACCCCTGTTCCAAATTTCATCCTTTCAGCCGTTTTGATGTTAAGGAGTAACAAATATAAAAACTTTGGATATATTGAAAATTTGCCTTATTTTGGTATATTCTACTTAATTAAAGAATATTTGCTCATCTATCCTTGTAATGACTAATAGGTTCATTCAACACAATGTTTTATATACATTTTATAAATGAATGGGAACATTCTAACCCAGGGTGGCTCCCACCCTAATCTCAATCAATAAATATTGAGTAGGTACAAGAATACGAGTACCTACGTACTCTCGGAGTACGTCCAGGGAGGTTGGAAAATTTTGTAGAAACAGGAATAAAGTATTCAATCCGTTATCATATATGGTTTAATTAGCGCCTGCACGATTAAATTAGCAAAGTTGGAGGCCGCTAGTTGCCCAGCCACCGCGCCAATTGTACAGTCGGTCGAATTCTATGTGCTATTTTAATGTCCTCAGGGTTATTTCCTTTTACGATCTCTTTGGCTGGATTTTGGTGTTACATTGTCCTCACACAATTGAACCCACAAAACTAACGTACCTACGTAAGTAAAGAAATATCGAGCGTACGGCGCGTCGCGTTCTGCGCGCGCGGTATTGGGCCCCATCCGTGGTGATCTATAGGGCTGATGCCGATTCGGAGTCACGGAAAACCTAACGGGTTGCCGGGGCTCCAGCTCGAAGTGCAGAAGGAACAGGGTAGTTTTTAGTCAGTAAGTCTGACACTCTCTCCCGCTTCACCCAGGCGGGAGAAGTTATTCGATGATATGCCTCCTTTAAAAAAAATGTAAACAAATACAGTAAAACTTGGTTAAGTGGGACCTGGATAAGTGAGAAACCTCCATAACTGGAACTCATGCTGAGGTCCCAATACTTTGGCACTGAATTACCTCTGTTAGTGGGACGAGGTAACCTGTATATCTGGGATTTATCATCATAGTTATATATGAAACAGCGAGTCAATTTTATATGCATAAACCTCTGTAACTGAGATAACATTGTTTGTTTACTCATTCTCATTCTACCCACAAATTCCACATGTAATTCCAAGTCCACCTCTATTAATCGAACCCTCTGTAAATGAGACATATATATTTATACCTGTATATCTGAGACACTGGGTAAGTGGAATACCTCTTTAAGTGAAACGACATTGCAGGTCCCTTGATGTCTCACTACATACATACTACATAGGTACCAGGTTTCACTGTATATTGTGAACTCATTGAGAACGAACAATTGTTGTTTTCGCGATACGCAACCTAGGTTAACCATCAACCTAGGTTGCAGGACACTTTGTCTCCATTTTATTATTCCAAAGTGTAACTAATGACTAATACTTCAGTCTAAGAGGTACTCTTTTAAAAACCCTAAGGTGATTGATTTCGTTAGCGAAGCTGTAGAAGTGGTGTATGCAGAACATTTTTACAATGATTCTCACTGCCTACTTCTGAATGAACCTATGTAACTATTATGGTTAAATTGGGATATAAATAAAACTAATTTCATCAAATTAAAATTATTTTATGTCCTTAAATCTCATCCACTTCAACAGTTGTTTTCTCAGACACATAGAGACCGTCTAAGAACTTTCTGATGTCCTTGTTTTTCACTGTGGTTGATTGTTGGATAAGAGCTGCAGAGCTTGACACATCCTCCAGGGAGTTGCCTTCAATGATCAGCTCATCCTTCTGTTTGGGCGAGTTGACGACGGTCACACCAGGTGCCATCTTTACCCTCCTGATGTATTTCTCACCAAGGAAGTTACGGATCTCAATGACTGAGTTGCCCTCAGTTGTGACACAGTTGATGGGGAAATGGGCATATACAGAACGCATTTTGTACTGGAATCCCTTGGTGACACCTGAAACATAAATAAATATATTGATTAATAGAGGTTAATATTAAAAGTTATTACAATACTAGGAGTACTAAACCAAAATAAAGTCTGTTCTTCAATAGACAATTTGCTAGAAATTGGTGAGTACAAAAATGAGTCCTCATTAGGGTTAAGTTTAGCACTCATTCATCACCAAGAGGCAAACTAGGCATAGGGCTCAGGTTACGAGGGGAACCACGAGATGCACCTCTTACCATAGAGGCAGATGAGATGGAAATTACAAGCATCTATATTGGTGCTTCCCTAGGGCAATCTTTGGGTTCAATTAGTCTCTGCTGATAAATTAATATGGTTTTGGAGGTACAGGTGATGAAAACTACTAGATGTTTACAGTACGGTCTATTATTGATATTTTAATACTGATGCAGGTATAGAGAAAAGTTTGTATCTGATTTAACTACACAGTCACAGGTTAAATTTGTTTAATTTGTATTTATTTAATCTCAAACTCAAAAGCATTCATTTTAATTAAACCATAATTTGATACTTTTGAAATGTCAATAAATATAAAATAAATAATTGTTTGTCAGTCTGTTTGTCAGTGAAGCTAGGTTATTTATTGGTTTGGACATCAACATAACTGAACACAGTGGTTATGCATAACAAAATGTGAACCAAGGATCATATATATGCTAATGATATTTCAAACCATTTGAGAAGATTTCAATTGCTAAACAACAAATACCTATCACATCTTGTAATGAAATGAACAAGAATTCAACGGGAGTTAAGTGTTGCACGAGTTAATAATTCGTCAATACAAGTATTAAACTGTCAAACACCAAGCGGTCACCGGTGACCGCAACCTATTGTTCTATAATTGTGTCTACAAAACCGGTACTCGACAAGTTAAAAAAGAAATCTGATTAGCACACTGCACAGAACTACCAAATTCTTTAGCAAATATGAACTGCACAGTTTAACATGGTAACTAAAAATAATTTAATAACAAAAATTGAAAAAAAATTACAAGTTGATACTAATGATTTAATTATTATTATTATTGATCAGTAAGTATTCTTAGAGGCAGAGGTAAGTCTAAGCAGAAGTGTAGAGCATTTTTTTCACTACTGACACCACATTAATTAACAAGCCACAACATGGGATCTATAATTTATTATAATAACCAAACTAAAGATACCATGTGAATGCGTACAATTAGGTACGTATCTTAAGAATTTGAAGTAATTCTAGTGTCTCCAATATCGAATTTATGAATTTGCAGGTTATAACTTTGTTCATGAGAATAACAACATAGAAGTAAACAATTTACCTTTGATCATGTTCTCAACGTGTGAGCAGACAGTCCTCACGGCGGCGAGTTCCTTCTTGGAGCCAAACCATTTTTCTACCTTCAGGACTCGCGGGTTCACCATGCGAATGTCAACAGCCAAGTGCTTGAAGTTCCTTTTCAAAACTCCGCGCGGTCCTTTCACTGTCACCAACCGCGATTTAACGTGTACAGTGAGCCCCTCGGGGATCTTCACTTTTTGATTCGCAACTATTTGCTTCATGGTCAAGCCTAAAACGATAATAAATATGGTTACAGAACTTAACCTGTTTGTAGTAACACTTGTCAACTCGGGAGGGTATGTTTTATGTTTAGTAAATGAAATATAGTTTACAACTGATCCTAAATGTTATTCCTCATATAAATCAGTCACTATCACATCGATATATTAAATACTTAAAAAGATTTTCATGGATTTTTGTAATTACAAACATATTCACCTACTTTCTTTGACACAAGAGCCGGAAAAGGCAGAATCGCCAAAAAGGTGTTGCTAGTATACAAATTTGACAGTTGTGGCGCTACGGATATTCTCAGTTGTCTAAACAATATAACTAAGTAAAATAAAACCGATTATTTTACTAATAATACTTTTAAAAGTTTTACTGCACTCATTCATTATTGTAGAATTTTTAAAACGACATGTTTTT